CTTTGTCTAAGTCGTGGATTTTTCATCAGGTTTATTGCTAGATATTTTATAGTTTTTATTACAATTGTAAAATGGCATTTTAAAAGTATATTTTCTGTTATTAATAAGTACTGATTTTGTGTGCATGTCATAAAAACTCATTACTGAATATCAGTCTAGTTGTTTCCAACTGATTCTTTTGGATTTCTCATGTAAGCAGTCATGTCACTTGCAAAATAATAATAATAATAATAATAATAATAATAATAATTAAAAGACAAAGAACAGGGGCACCTGGGGTGGCTCCGTCGGTTAAGCATCCGACTTCAGCTTAGGTCATGATCTCACAGTCCATGAGTTTTAGCCTCAGGTCGGGCTTTGTGCTGACAGCTCAGAGCCTGGAGCCTGCTTCAGATTCTGTGTCTCCCTCTCTCTTTGCCCCTCCCCTGCTCATGCTCTGTCTCTCTCTGTCTCAAAAATAAATAAAAACATTAAAAAAAATTTTTAATAATAATTTTAAAAAAGACAGAGGATAGGTGTTATTTCTTTTACAGTATTTACACTTTGTTTCTTTTTATTTTCTTATTGCTTTGGCTCCCTATTCTTGGGAGTATCAGTTGTACAGTTTTTCCTTCTGGAATTCCATTGGAATCACACACACACACACACACACACACACACACACACACACACACACAGGCTCTTTGGGATATGATCCTACTTTGCCCCTAATATTTTCATCTGATTATCCTTTCTTCTGAGTTCTTAGAATTTCCTTGGACTCTATCTTCAAATTCTCTCATTTAATTTTCTATAGCATCTAATATGTGGTTCAGTGACTCTTTAGGATTTTAACACTCAACCGTGTTTTTATCTCTAACCTACTCTTTGGCAAGTTGCCGGATCCCCCAGTTGTTGCAGCACACACTGCTTGTGGTCCTCTCCCTGGATGGTTGTGTTTTATTGATCCCACCCCACTCCTTCTTCAACAGCCCCACCCCTCGGGGTTCCCAGTTCCACCCTACCCATTCTTCTATTCTCACTGTACCTGTTCTCCCTGACAGGCTCATCTGTCGCCACGCCCACTACTCACATGCTTAGTCGTGAGAGAGCTCCTACCTCAGAGCTCCATGTCAGAGATGTCTCTGCCTGCATGTTTTAACACCAAACTCACTGTCTCCCAAATTTGTTACTCCTAATATTCACGGCACCATGGTCAACTAGTTGCCCACGATAGAATGTCAGGGTCGTCCTGAACGTCTCCCTCTCCTCTATCTGCCCTATCCAGTCACTTCACACTGTTGATGGGACAACACAAATGCCTCTTTCTGTCTTTATCGCTACCACTCACATTTTTAAGCTCTTGCAATCTCTCTTCAGGGTATCCCAGTTGTCTTTTTTTTCTCTCTCTTTTAGTTTTTTACTCAGTGTTACCATGCGCCTTCCCAAAGCACACATTTAATCATGTCAGTCATCTATTCAGTTTTGGTGGGTCCTATTGCAAAACAAATTCTAAACAACTTAGGACATGTAAGACTGTTTATTATCTTGTCCCAGTAACCTTTCAGCTTTGTCACCTGCCATTCCTTTCCAGATGTCTTATGTCCCAGCACACCAAGATTCTTGCCATTCCCCAAACATCCTCATGCCTTTGCACAGACCCTTCCCTTTGTCTACAGAGTTGTTTTCTTGACCCTTTACCTGCTTATTCTTCAAGATCAAGTTCAAAAGACAACTCGGTGTGCCTGGGTGGCTCAGTCGGTTAAGCATCCGACTCTTGATTTTGGCTCAGGTCATGATCTCACGGTTTGTGAGTTCAAGCCCCACATCAGCCTCCGTGCTTGTCGTGCAGAGCCTGCTGGGGATTCTCTCTCTGCCTCTCTGCCTCTCTCCCTGTCTCTCTAAGTAAATAAATAAATAAATTAAAACTTCTTTAAAAAGACAACTCTGTGAAGGCTGCCTGGACTCCAGAGGTAGAGAGGTTTAGGCTCCCTCCTCTGTACTCCCTTAGTAATTGGTACATGTTTCTCTACTCAAGCATTCGCATGTTGTTCTACAGCTATGTCTGTGTCTGTCTCTCCCTTCAGATCAAGAGGAGCCCCAGCTCTTCTCTTTGTACTTTACTCACATCTTACTCTCCCACTCCCTTCTCATCCAGACTACTGAGCAGTCCAAGTCCCTATCAAGTGAAACCCACCTACCACTTATTTCTCAACTTCACTTTACCAGTTAAAAGCACACAGATGTGGAATGCAATATTACCTAGTAACCTTACGACCAACCTATGGTATAGTCAGTTTCTCACTTTCCAAAATGACTATTTCACACCTTCTTCTTTGTCCCCAAACCTCCTATAATCCCTGTTCCCCTGATGACCTTGCCTCTAATTCACTGAGAAAATAGAAGTAATCAGAAGACAATTTCCCCATTCCTCACCATCACATTTTCCAGTTCCCTTGCATCTGAACCTGTATCCTCTGTGTCTACCAGAGGCCGGTCCCTCCACTTTTGCTCTGGATTCTGTCTCCACCCACCTTTCCAGAGTCTTGGCTTGTGCAGTGATCCCCTTTTTCCTCTGTCATCTAGATCTCCCTTTCTTCTGGATCTTTTCCACTGGCCTGCTGACATGCTTGACTATCATCTATCTCCTAAAAAAAATAACAATTAAAAAAAATCTCTTGGCTCTTCCTTCCCATCTAGTAATAGCCACTCCATGTCTCAGCTGACCTTCACACTAAAATTATCATCCCGTCTCATCTCCACCTATTCCAATCAAACCTCAGTCCTTTCTACCTCACTGAAACTGGTCTTGCCAAGTTAACACTGTTCCCAAGTTGTCCAATCACATTGTCACATCCGTGTCTTCATCTTGCCATACCTTTCAGCATCATTGAACACAGTTCACCACCTCCTCCTTTGGGAAACACTTTCTGGCTCGGCTTTCATGATCCCTACTCTTCAGGTGTGCCCCCCCACCCCGGATTCAGTCTCCTTTGTCAGATTTTCTTCTTTTCTAAACATTCGCTGTTCTAGAATCTGGTCCAGAGACTTCTTTTCTGCCCCGTGTCTAACCTACCCATGAAGAATCTCATTATTTTATGGGTTTAAGACTGTCTATATGTCAGTGACTCCAAAACTTATATGTCTACTCCTCATCTCTCCTCTAGACTCCAGACTCTAACTTATATACTTGATTATCTTTTCAGAAGTAATTCCAACTTAATATGTCTAAAACAGAAATCTCAATACCCTCCTTCAAACAATCTCATTGCCAAGTCTTTTATGTCACTAAATGACACCATTCACCCAGTTGCTCAAGCCAGAAACTCATGAAACACCCTCAGATTCTCTTTCCCCACCCTCTACTGCCCCACTGTCCCATCCATCCACAGATTTTATCGATTCTCCCTAAAAATACTTCCCCAATCCATCTACTTGTTTCTAGCTCTATTGCTACTATTCTAGTCCAATATACCACCATCCTTCACTAAGACAACAGCCTCCTGACTGGCCTCCTGGCTTCATCTGTTACCTCCCACTCGCCATTCATTCTTCATCCAGCCACCAAAAAATCTTTGAAAAACATAAATCAGGGGCACCTGGGTGGCTCAGTCAAGTGTGTGACTTCAGCTCAGGTCATGATCTTGGAGAGCTTGTGAGTTTGAGCCCCACATCTGGCTCTGTGCGGACAGCTCAGAGCTTGGAGCATGCTTTGGATTCTGTCTCTCTCTCTCTCTCTCTCTCTCTCTCTCTCTCTGCCCCTCCCTGGCTCATGCTCTATCTCTCTCTCTCTCAAAAATAAATAAATATTAAAAAATTAAAAAAAAAAACAAACCATAAATCAGAGCGTATCACTCTCCTGGTTAAAACCCTCCATTGGTTCTGCATTGCACTTAGAATAAAACCCTCCTCACCCTACCAAGGTCTACCAAGCCTTCTGTGGGCTCTCAACCACCTCTCCAAACCTGCCGTGTCCATTCTCTCCATTGCTTGCTCCTAACCACATGATATTTTCTTTTAATGTTTATTTATTTTTGAGAGACAGAGACAGAGCACGAGTCGGGGAGGGGCAGAGAGAGGGGGGACACAGATTCTGAAGCAGGCTCCAGGCTCTGAGCTGTCAGCACAGAAGCCAATGCGGGGCTCAAACTCACAGACCGTGAGATCATGACCTGAGCCAAAGTCAGAAGCTCAACCCACTGAGCCACCAAGGTGCCTCCCACATGGTATCCTTTCTGTTCCTCGAATGCTTGCTTTTTCCCATCTGAAGGCCTTTGTAGCAGCTATTTGCCCTTCTTGGAACGCTTGCTCCCTCTCATCCCACTCTATTTTGTTTTAATCATAGTACTGATCACAATTGGGCATTTCCTTGTGGTTTTGGTTTGTTTGTTTTTTGAGTTAAAAAAAAAAAAATCTGTGTCTCTTACTGAGAATAAAAGCTTCCTGAAAGCATGGCTCACGCTGTCTTGTTCTCTGTTGGATGCCTAGCCTGTAGAAAAATTTCCGGCACATAGTAGGTGTTCAGAAAATGCTTTTTGAAGGGATGAGTGAATCCTAGTATTCCTTGCAATTGGTACAATTCCTGACACAGACTAAGTTCTGTGTTTGCTGAATTAATAGATAAGTTCCTCCAGCTATACTGTGAACCCCTCCCCCACTCGTGCTCTGTCTCTGTCTCTCTAAAAATAAATAAACATTAAATTTTTTTAAAATTTCTGCTTCCATCACAGCACCTAGCATGATGCTAGGGACTTCTGGATGCTTAGTAACTATGCTTGTTTGATTTATTCTTCTTCATAAAGGGAAAGCCAAGCTTTTCAACTATCTACTTAATAGACTTCACTTGTCTGAGAGTAAACACGTGACATAAGAGGAATGGCACAAGAATGGGGATGGACTGGGTAGGGGTTGGTCAGCCCCTCTTGGCTGGAATAGAGATAAAAGGAGAGTGTGCACCTTGCAGCTTTCCTATCAGAATTCTAGTCATGGTGCTACATTTCTTTGTGATGAATCTGTTCCAGGGTGCAACCTACATCCTGGTGATGGTGGATCCAGATGCCCCTAGCAGGTCTTCCCCCAAGGCTCAATTTTGGAGACATTGGCTGGTAACAGATATCAAGGTAAGCAGGCCAGAAGGCGCTTTCTGATTCACTTGGGCTTATAGCTGGAAGATTACCGTTCTGGGCAGTTTTCAGCTCTCATTCAGGAGGGCTGGGGACTCAGGTTGCCCCCTACACTCAGCTGTCACAGCCCCTCCCTGGTTTTCTAACACTTTTGAAAAAGGTCCAGGATCAGTGGTGCACAGGTAAACCGGGTGGGGAGAGCCCTAACTTGTAGTGTTTGCTGATTTCTATAGTGTAAATACTTCCACCATGGCCAATTTCAAGTTACTGATGATTTAACGGTTAACTCAGATTTTCTGAAAATTTAACAGTGGCTCCAGCGCACCACCACAAGGGGCCTGGATTCGGAGGCACAGGGGTGACTGTGTGGTCCAGGTGGCAGAGCCGGCAGGGAGAGTCCTGCAGGGGGTCCTCCTGATGGGCTGAGGGGCAGTCTCCTTTTCTTTGTACAGAAACAAGTGGCCTCCCCTCATCTGTGTCCCTTGGCCATCACATAATTGTGAAGGACTCTGGCTCATCCTTTCTGGAGTAGGTCTGAGGAACACAGATCTGGAGGGTTGGTAATGGGCATTATGTAGGGTAGGGGGGGAGGCTGTATTCCCAAACAAGTTTTGGAGACCCCAGGCTACACCGTATTAATCACATTCCTCACTGACGGGTTTTTTAGTGCTTTTAATATTCTAATGTGCACTATATAATCTGCATTTATTTTCCAGCCTCATTTGCCTAGTGAATCTTTTGTTCATGAGCGCCTGGCCGCACACTTTGGGAAAATCCATGCTAGCTTCAGCCGTTCATGCATCTGTGCCTAGAGAGTTCACAGATGGCCTTTGCATAGTCATCAAGCCATAAGATAGTGGGAACCCAGGGGCACCTGGGTGGCTCAGTCCGTTAAGCATCCAACTCTTGGTTTCAGCTCAGGTCATGATCTCGCAGTTTGTGAGTTTGAGCCCTGTGTTGGGCTCTGTGCTGACTGCACGGAGTCTGCTTGCAAGTCTCTCTCTCTCTCTCTCTCTCTCTCTCTCTCTCTCTCTCTCTGTCTCTCCCTCTCTGCCCCTCCTTCTCTTCCTCTCTCTGTCTCTGTCTCTCAAAATAAATAAAGATAAACTTAACCAAAAAAAGATAGTGGGAACCCAGAACTAAAAGACTTAAGTCTGGATCTAGGTTTGACAGGTTCCCAAATCCATCATCTCTATAAGTCACTCGGAGTCCCTCCGGGTATTTCCTCTTTGTCTGTAAGATGGGAACCATGTTACCTCCTTTATACGGTTGTCACAAGAATCCAATGAGAGAGCATACTGAGAGCACTTTGGAAAACAGAGAGCACCACAAATGTAAGGAGTTTGTGTTTTTCCTTCCCCCACTGTGGGTCAGAGGAAGGGGTATCGGTGTGAACTATCCATTGATTCTCCTGAGCAAGGCAGGGGCTCTCACAGCCCCTAGAGTTGGGGGCTGGTGGGAGAAGCTATCCTGTCAACCAACCCCTGCCCAATGACCATGGGCCCTTCACGGGGTGCTTAGGTAGACAGCCCATCCTCAGAGGCAGTCCTGGCTACACACAGCCTTGAAGGAGTCCCCTCCAGGGAGGCCTCCAGCAGGCTTTTTGGACAGTGCCTGAGCCAGGCTCCTGAGGGAAAGCAGGAACATTGCTTCAACACACTTCCCCTGGCCAACCACCCGTCAGCCTGGTAAAGAGCCTTGGAAACACCATAAACATGCAAAGGGGCAGAGCTGGGGGATTTTCATGCCATCAAGGCTGGGAGAGAAGCTGAAGGCACAAAAGGGAAAAATACTGGATCCTGCCCCAATCTAGAGCATTGCCAGTTTCTATACTTGGGATTCCCAGGCAGTCATAAGGGGGAGAAACTCTCAAGAAAGGAGTACTGCTCCAGACATGACACGTGTAGTGCAGCTCTTCACACACCGGGCTGTCCATAAGAGGGTTCTACTGGGCAGTTCTGAGGCAGATTTCAGAAACCATGGTGGATGGGATAATTTCAGCATTGAGGGCACCTTGGGGCCATAACACTGCCTTTCTTCCAAGCCTGAAGCCCCCCGCCCCACCCACTGCCCTCACCCCAGTATGCACTCAGGACAGTTCTCTCACAGAAGCTTTGCAGGGCAGACGTGGGTTCTCAGCAGCCCAGCTGAGAAGCAGAGCAGGTGGCAGGTGGCAGGTGGCAGCTGTCCGGCAAGACCACTAAGCCACAGAGCTTATCAGGGCCACCTGCCCGGGTGTGGCCCCCAGCCTTCCCGCTTAGACCGGAGGAGGCTTGGGTTTCAGGCACATTTTCACCCACTTTCCCTGATCCAAGTGTCCAGCAGGAAGCAGCAGCTCTTGTCAGCTGTATCCACTCAGCCTGCCCACCAGCCCCCAGATTCCTTTAGCTGCATGGCCAGTATGAAAACCAGGCTCACTTAGGTCTCAGGCTGTGGCCCTTGGCCAAAAAAAGGGAAGGCTCTAATCAAACCCAGAAGCACTTCCTTTGTGTTGGCGTTAGCTGAGGCTGAGTAGGTCTCAGACATTACAGCATGTTCAAATCCACTGGTGAATGTGTTAAAATGCAGATTCCCAGGCACCACTTCCGTCAGTCTGGAGAGAACGAGGCATACAAGCTTAACAGGTTTCCAGAAGGAATTTAGCCAATTGAAGGAAGACCACAGAGTTCAGTCTGAATGCTTTGGTCATTGTTATCACCCATCTGGGAGCAATTTTCAAGTGACAATCATTTTCGACCCTTCCTTTTGATCCCCACGATCAGGGCATGTGAACTAGGCATTATCCCCATTTTATAGGTGGGAAAGCAAAGCCTGGAGAGGTTGGATGATGCAGTCTCTCAGCTAGGTGGGTCTTCATTCCAAGGCCCCCAACTCCAAACTGCACACCCTTCTGGCCATACCACATGGTCTGGTTCACACTACATCTCTCCCATCAGCTCCATGGTGGCAAGAGGCATGCCACCTTGCCCTCTCTGTAAGATGGCAAACATAATCTCTGTGGTTCTCCTACCATTCCAGGGCTCTCCTTCTGGTTCCCTCTTATGGACAGATGCTTCCAGGGAACCTCCCCAAAGACTGCTATCTTGGGAAATCAAATACACCTGGCTAACATTCAAACCCTTCAGGAATTCTCATCCTTAATATGTTGGGCTAAACGTAAACCCAGTAGGGTGCCTGGGTGGCTCAGTCGGTTGAGCACCCAACTCTTAATTTCAGTTCAGGTCATGATCTCACGGTTCGTGGGATCAAGCCCCATGTCAGGCTCTGCACTGAGCTTGGAGCTTGCTTGGGATTCTCTCTCTCTCTCTCTCTCTCTCTCTCTGCCTCTCTCTTTCTCTCTATTCTCTTTCTCTCTGCCCCCTCTCCCCTGCTCATGCTCTCTAAAATAAAAAACGAAAAAGTGAGTCCTATATATTATCATTACCCTCAGCAGTAAGTGGCCTCAACAATAAGGCACACCATAAAGTCACTACAGACATAAAGTGATGATGGTCCTGTGATTCACAGTGACCACAGAGGTGGAACCCAGGCTGGCCTTGATATTAGGAACACAAACCTAACTGCGTGGTGGGTGGGCCATGGCCATGGGAGCCCCTCAGTAAGGACAATTTGGGGGCCATCTATCCAGGTGGAAACAAATAATTTCTCAGGAATACAGGAAACATCTGCAGCTCCCTGCCTTAAAGAGAGGCTGGCAAGTGTCTACTATAGGGTGGGATAAAGCTCTAGATCCCTGGACAACTTGTACAAAAACCAGAGAGAAGTCCACCAGGAGGAAGCAGGCATTCACGTTACCCTTTGTTCACTTAATTCAACAAATATGGGTTGGCCATTGTTTGCAAGCATAAAGGCAAGGACTCTGGAGCCAGACCACTGGGCTCCAATCTGACAGTATAGCTATGTGATCTTGGGGGGCAGGGTACTCAACCTGTCTTTCAATATGCTCACTTTAAATTTTTTTTTTTCAACGTTTATTTATTTTTGGGACAGAGAGAGACAGAGCATGAACGGGGGAGGGGCAGAGAGAGAGGGAGACACAGAATCAGAAACAGGCTCCAGGCTCCGAGCCATCAGCCCAGAGCCTGATGCGAGCCTGACGCGGGGCTCGAACTCACGGACCGCGAGATCGTGACCTGGCCGAAGTCGGACGCTTAACCGACTGCGCCACCCAGGCGCCCCATCAATATGCTCACTTTAAAAGTGGGGTTACCAATAGCCCCTGCCTCCTCACCCTGTTGTTATGGAGTTCAGATGAGTTGTTTTAAGTAAAGAGCTTAGAACAGTACCCAGAACACATAGCGAGCTGTATGTATCGTTGGTGGCTGTGATGTCACCCTTACTGCTCCTAAGTCAGGCACCAACACTGGCACTGGGGTTAGAGATGCAAACACAGCAGGGGAAGTCTCTGCCTTCTATGAGTTTCTACTCTAGTGAAGCAGAGGAAGGAGGCTGAGGCACAGGGGCTCTCTCAGGGAGGAACTGGCCACAGCCGCGGGTTCCTATCAGCTTGGAGACTGAACGTCAGTCCTCGAACCTGGCCCGACCAGGACAGGCAAGGACTGCGGCAAACAGCATGCCGTCCTTCTCCGCCCCCTCTTTGAAAAATCTCTCATTGAACAAAAGATTTCCAACAGAGCATTGACACACAACGTTTCTCTCCCTGCCATGTCCTCAGCTTTTCCTTTAAGATGTTCTTGAGTTCTGATTCAATCGAACTAATAGTCTTCATGCTAAAGCCTAATTAAGATATCAATTAATTTGCATCATTCATTTCAGAAGAAAAGCTTATTGGTTCATCTTCTGTTTGTCTCTGAAATTAGTGCTCAGGGCTTTTCATGCAGATATTTTCATTAGACTTTTTATTGTTAATGGGAATATTGAACACAGGAAGATGGTATATTAATACCTTCCACAAAGAATATCATGATTGGTGACAAAGAACACTAAGAACAATTAAGGAGACAAGAGTGCCTTTTTTCTTCCAAAAAAGAAAATCT